CTCGCCTTTTCGCTTCCGCTGGCCATCCGAGGCCTCAAGATGGCTCCAAGATGGCCCAAGAGGGCTCCAAGAGAGGCTCAAGAGAGCCCCAAGACGGCCCCAAGAGCGCCTAAGAGCGCGCCAAGAGCGCCCCAAGAGTCTATTTTTCGGGCTCCCCAGGGGCAACGCTAACTAATGCTCGCTGCTTGGTTGATCGAGGTCCTCCAAGATAGAGCGCCCAGGAGACCCCAACAGGCGCCCAAGAGGCCCTCAAGACGCTCCCAAGAGACGCTCTCCGAGGCACCCAAGACGCTCCAAGAGGCCTCCACTGGGGGACCATTCCTCAATGTGCTGCCCATCGAGGCAATTCCCCTGGGCATCGTTTCTGGATGGGCTGGTGGGGTTACGCGAAGCGTCTAGAATTTCTGATCGTCCGCCGTCCTTCTCGGCCATCTGCATCCTCACTCTCGCGTTTCTGATTCGCAGGCATGACAGTGAGGAGGTCGATGGGCAGGGGGTCGAACAGGTAACACAAAAACGATACAGAAAATGATGATGGCGATGGTGATGATGATGGTGATACGAGAACCTCCGGGCAGATGAGGTTTGACTGCTGTCAACGTCTGCGGCGGGCGAAGGGGCTGGCTGCCGAGGGACACGACCGTGGCGCCTGCGGCACACAACACCACGGTGGCGCTAACGCGCTCGGCGAGCCTCCGCGCTGTTTGTGGCCCGACGGCCGTCGCGCTGCAGACGGCCGCCGCGCTTGCGAAGCCACTGCGAGCTCTGGGCGCCTTCGTGCAGGGACGGGGGCCTGGCTCGAATCCGTCCCCGCTCTGTAAACCCCGCGGGCCCCCAACCTTATTTCGCTGGCCCCCATCCTCGCTCTCGCTAGGGCCCCTTGTGTAGCTATTATGACTATGTTCGGCCGTGCAAACACCAGGCGTCCGCATGGTTTGTGCTTGCTCGGATGGCACAGTTGCGTAACCTGCTCCAGGAAATCCCTGGAGAGTATCCCAGCGCTTCTGACACTGGAATGCCCACGTGCGCCGTCTCGATAAATACTCCTCGGGAATTTCCCGCACGGTGTTTGGTAATATCGACCCTGCTGGCAAATGCGCCGCCCTTGCTCAGTCCATTCGCGATGACATCGGGAGCCTTAGCCGTATCAAGACGGGGAAGCTGATCTCGATCTTTCCAGTGATCGCAGCGGAATTCGAAATTGCCTCCTGGATCTCTTCGATGACCTGGCCTGAGGAGACGGGCTCCCAGCATCAGGCGGCCCCCAGCTCTGCTGGCTCCGGCAGCCGTCACAGGGCTCTCAATGATTCTGAAACCGCCGATGGTCAGGCTGTTTTTGGCGTCCCAGAACCGTGCGGTGACAGACCGTGCGGTGACCTCGGAACCCCAAGAGACCTCACCGCACGGTCCGTCATCGCACGGTTTTGGGACCCTGGAGGCCCCTGTCGCCCGAGACATCCTCGGAAAACGGCCCGAGTCCGAAAACCGTGCGGCGACCCCGAATCCCCACCGACTGACCACACGGTGTGGTCACCACCCCGTTTGGGGGCCCCCGACCATTGTTGACCAGCTGATTGTCCCCCGGGAGGAGGGGGCGACCGAATAGGCGGTCGGTCCACCCCTACTCCGTCGCCCCTCCCCTGCCCTCTCCCTCCCGCCCCCTGAGGAGGAGGAGGAGGAGGAGGAGGAGGAGGAGGAGGAGGAGGAGGGAGGAGGAGGAGGAGGAGGAGGAGAGAGGAGGAGGAGGAGGGGAGGAGGAGGAGGAGAGGGAGGAGGAGGAGGAGGAGGCCTCCTCCCCCCCCGCTCCTCGACCGCTGCTCTCTGCCGCCGGGCATCTCCGCTGGGCCAGCGGTGGCGGACCCTCGTGGGCCCGTCCCCACCCCTGGGGGCGGGGAGGGGCGGCCCCGCCCCCCGCCGCGCGCTTCGGCGGGCTCTTGGCGGCGCGCACCAAGGGGGTAGGGGGGAGGGGGGGCGGCTTCTTGGAAGGAGGCTGCTTCTCGGAAGGCGCCGGCCCTGCATCTCTAGGTTGAGGCCCGCGCCTTCCTGAGAGGCAGGGGTGCTTCTAAGAAGCCCTCCCCCCTCCCCACCCCCTCTGCGCGTGGCTGACAAGCGTGGCCGACCCTCGTGGGCCCGCCCCCACTCCTGGGGGCGGCGAGGGGCGGCCCCGCCCCGCCCCGCGCCGCGCGCTTCGGCGTGCTGGGCTTAGGTCGGGCATGTCCCCCTACAGACGAATCGCTTTCTTGGGAAACATAATGTTCGACACACACATGTATGTATGCATGTATGTATGTATGCATGTATGTATGTATGTATGTATGCATGCATGTATGTATGTATGTATGTATGTATGTATGTATGTAGGTAGGTCGGTAGGTATGTATGTATGTATGTATGCAGGTATGTATGTATGTTTGTATGTATGTATGTATGTATGTTTGTATGTATGTATGTATGTATGTATATATGTATATATGTATGTATGTATGTATGTATGTATGTATGTATGTGTGTGTGTGTATGTATGTGTATATATGTATGTATGGATGTATGTATGTATGTATGTATGTATGCATGTATGTATGTATGTATGTGTATATGTATGTATGTATGTATGTATGTATGTATGTATGTATGTATGTATGTGTGTGTATGTGTGTGTGTGTATGTATGTATGTATGTATGTATGTATGTATGTATGTATGTATGTATGTGTGTGTGTATGTATGTATGTATGTATGTATGTATGTATGTATGTATGTATGTATGTGTGTGTAGATATGTATGTATGTATGTATGTATGAATGAATGAATGAATGAATGCATGTGTGTGTGCATGTATGTATGTATGTATGTATGTATGTATGTATGTATGTATGTATGTATGTATGTATGTATGTATGTATGTATGTATGTATGTATGTATGTATGTGTGTATATATATAACTATTCTCCAGAAAACAGATCCATAAACAACCAACAACTCGTTCCCAGACTGTTTTCTTCACTATTTTTGGATATTGGGACACGCCCGACTCGCGGCTGGGCACCCTGGGCACGCGGCGGCTTCCGAGCAAGAGCGCGGCGGGCAGGCCGGGCCCAGCGCGACGCCTGCTCGTCTGGCCGGCGCGCCGATCCTCCTCTCCTCCTGAGGACGAAGCCAAGGCAAGAACCAGCTCGAGTGAGGATAAATCGAGAATCTCTGAGCGAGAATCTCGAGGATGTATCGGGCGCCGCGGCCTTCTCAGAGCGTTCCGGAACGCTTTGAGAGCGTTCCGGAAAGCTCTGGTACGGATGTCTCCTCGCCCTGGCCCCGTCCGACCTCCCTCCTCTCCTCCTCTTACGGGAGCGGCACCCGTGCACCGCACCATTTTTGGATTCCCTTCAGGCCCCGCTCCAGCAAGGTAATTACGGTGTCTAGTTCTCGTGCTCCGAGGGCCGACAAAAACTATGCGGGCCCCACGAAAATACATCACCACCACCAGGTCGCTTCCTCCTCCCTCCTCTACCCTCCCGTTAGTTTCCTCGTTCCCGGGAGAGGGAGAGGGTGAGGGAGGTGGTGGTGGTGTATATGTTCGGGCGTTGGTAGAACTGGGTTTAGTGGAACCTGGTTTAGTGATCTGTACCGGGGGCGCCCCCCCCGTCCACTTTCCACTAACCGGAACTGCCGTCAGCAGAAAAAACACCAGCTATGGCAAACCTGGTTTAATGATTCTGGCCAATTCGAAGGCTCTGGGGCCCTACCACTAACCGGGTTTCCTTACCCGGGGTCCTGGCCATACCCGATCCTGGCTCGAGGATCGACGACGCCTCGGGAGACGCCGGCGCACGCTGCAACGGCGGCGGGCTGGTGGCGGAGCTGGGCCTGCTGCGCCGCCCGGCCCACCCCAGGGCGCCAGGAGCAGCAGGCGCCCCATCCGACGCTCACGGCTCCTCTCCTCCCCTCCTCTCCTCCCCCCCTCTTCTCCCCCTCCTCGCCTCGGTGGCACGCCGAGGGTGGTGGAGGCGAGCGGGGAGAGAACTCCCCTCGGAGAGCGGCGGGGCTCCTCAGATTCCCTCCGGCCCTCTCTGAGGAGCCGCCTGCGGCTGCAGCCAAAGGCTCTGCAGGCTTCGCAGCAGGCCCAAGGCCTTCGGGGCCTGCCGAGCAGGCCCGGGCGCGCCGCCGACCCCCTCCGCCCTCCCGGACCCCTCCACTGCACGCGGACTTGCCGCGCCGATCTTGGCCACCGCTCATCCTGGTCAGCGTCAACTCGTGGATGATCCTCGCGAACCGGCGACGGCCCGCATGGATCATGTCGGCAAGACCCAGCGGCGTATTGGTCATGGCCCCCGCGTCGGGCTCACGCTAAAATTGGACACGGGGTCCTTGGATCCGACGCACTGGCGCCAGATGCGTGGATCGGGGGAAGCGCCCCCGAACACAGGAGGCCAACGTCGCCCGACCGGGCGACGGGGCGCGCCGATGCTGTACGGGGGCGTGGCCCGTCGCTACGGCGGCGGCCTTGGACACGGAAACCCTCGATAAGGAACCCAGGGGCTGGAAGCCAATGGAAAGCTAATCGTGGGCTGGCCAGGGATATCACCGCCACCCTCATCAGGTAAGGAACCCTCCAGGGTCTGAGCCCGCCGGGCACGTTCCTGATCGAATGCCCCCACTGGAATCCACGTACCGTCATCCCTGTTTGCGCTTCCTCGACCCGCGCGTCTCCCCTCGACTTCCACAGCAGCGGTGCATACGCCACGCCCCTCTGGCTTGGCAAAGGAGGGCGTCCACACACAGCTCCTGGGCCCAGCAAGGGCCCAGCCAGGGAACGGTGGATGTGCAAAGATGTCGTCGCCGTCACCCGACGTTCCTCCCCTCGACCTCCACCCAGACACGCGACGTCTGGAGTTTTCCAGGACGGCGTCCCCAGAAATCCCGACCCTTTCCCCTGTGCACCCCTCCTCCCGAGCGAGCTCGCCCGCGAGGGTTCCCGCCGCGGCGCGGTCGCCGCCGAGAGGGCCTGCGGCTCGGCGCAGGAGCTCCACCCCGCGGGGGGGTCGCAGTGCTCCTCGCGGAGGAGCCTGTCCTCGAGCTCCCTCCTGGGGGGGGGCGGCGGGGGGGGGGGGGGGGGCCCCGAAGAAGACATGATTGACCCTTACCCAGACATGCTCGCGTCGTAAAGACATCAGGACGGGAGGTTCTTCGCTATTCGCGGCCCCAGGGGGCCCTCGCCTGGCCCCGGGAGAGGGTCGGGACCTTGGGGGCGCCGTCCTGAAACAATCAGGACGCCGCATGTGTAGCACCCGTGAGTTGCGGGTAGAAGTAATGGGGGAGGGCGCGGGGTGGGTCGTGGATGGGTCGCGAGGTGGGTTGCGGGTGGACGTGGGGGGGGGGGGGGGGCGACAAACGAGGCGCGCTCGAGCCACATCAGACATCCTATCCCTCCCTCCCATTCCCTCCCGGTGCGATCATGCCTCTCGCTCCGCGGACGCGGGCCATGGTACACCTGGATCTCCATTCCCGCAGCTACGTCTGACGAAAAACAGATGCTGGCCCCCATATTCCCGGTGAACTTGTAACACTCCCCCGCCCTGGAAATGTTGTCTCGCCCCCCGCCCCATCCCCGCCCTCCTGCTCCTCTGTTCTACAGAATCCCAATAGCGGATCCCGCTTGGTTACAGTAAGTTTTTAACATGACCCCAATCGGATTCCAATCGTATCCAGTCGTATTCCAATCGCACCCCACAGATGATCCCAACCGGATTCCGATCGGACTGCAACAGGACGCCAATAGGATCCCAATCAAATTCTGAACAATAAAGGCCCAATGGGATCCCAACATAAGGCCCATATATAATGTCATTCGGATCCCAACAGGATCCCAATCATGTGCTCATCGGAATCCAACTGCTTCGTCCGGTGACGCGGATGGACTGCGAACCGTCTTCAAGATATGACCCTCGCCTCCTCGCCACGCACTCTGGTCTGAGACACTCCTGGTGCTTGGAAGGACGGAGGGCGAAGCGTTGTCAGACCGTGGTTCTCGAATGAGCAGCACGCAATGCTGTAATACACCCTCTGGTCGGCTACATGTAAGAGTGACCCTAAGCAAGAATGACCTTTGGTGCGTGGCTTAACGGGGGACGCGGGGTGGCCAAACCCGGGCGCGCAAGCCGCTGCTACCGCTTCTTCTCAACGATCGGGGGACCCCATTGGACCCGCACTCATATGGCGGATTCCGGAAACCCTGAAACAACGCTTTCATCCCTTGGGGGCGCATCTTTTACTTCCGCCGTCTTCCGCCGGCTTTCCTCTGGCTTCCGCCGGCGGCGGCGGCCTTGTTTTACTTCCACCGCCTTCTGCCAGCTTCCGCCGAGGAAGAAACGGCAACTCCTTTGATCCTCGAAGGCGAGGCCCTCTCTTAGAGGAGTAAACAACGACATAAACATAAACTTTTGGCGTTCCGCGCGGAGTTCTTGGATCTGCGACGGACCCCCTTCCCTGGCGCGCGGGGCGCGCTGGGGGCGGCGCCGGAGGCGCCGCCGGAGGGGGCCCAAGCGCCGATCTGAGAAATCCGCGCAGAGCGTCAAAGTTTACAGTCGAGGCGTTGACCTAAAGAACCCTAAATAAGGAACGAGGCCCCTATTTTCCATAAGTTGAACTTCGATTTCGTATCGAAAACCAAAGGAAAATCCAAGGCAAGCTGCGAAACAATTAAGGAACACGGAGAGCCCCTGCCCAACGAAAAGGGTTCCTTCTTCAGGGCCCCGACTGTATGCTCATGGCGGTTTTCCCCCTTCGATGTCTGGAACGCCCCACGCAGTCGTACGCCCAGCCGGCCCAGCCCCCGCTGTTCTGCCTCGCGGCGGGGAGCGCGCCCCCGCTGAGGGAGAAGCGCCCGCCCCACGGGCCTTCGATCTGCAGGCAGGGGGGCCCTCGCTCCGCAAGAAAGAATGCGCCCCAAGGAGCGCGGTAGGGCCACGGAGTGCAGGGAGTCGTCCAGCGGTGGCCGTGCTGTGGGAAGTAGACGGCAGAACATCCACCCCGAGAAAAAAACACCCCGACGCGCGAAACCGTTTCGAGAACGCACCCAAAGAGGGAATCAAACAGGGCAGGGCTGTTTGGTAAACGCGCAGGGCCGTTTAGAAAACGCCAATTGTCTGGTCCGGGTGGTTCTTCCTCCCTTGAGAAGAGGGGCCGCCACCAGTGGAACTGCTGGAAGATGAATGTTGTTGCGCGTCGTCGCGCGCGCTGAGGGGACACCTTTACGAGCACCGCATCTTGAAAATGAATTGCCATCCATCTTCGCGCCGTTGCGCAATGTCACACTCCGTGCTGCCAGATGCACATATGATGTCAAACGAGAGCCCCACTTGAAAAAAATCGTCCCTCCGTCGCTGTGACGAATCTACGCGTCGCTATGGCGCGCATCTTGAGTGCGGTTCGTCCGCCATCGTTCTACTCATTAGAAACTGCTGCTCCTCCTCCTCTTCCTCCTCCTCCTCCTCCTCCCGCTCCTTCTAATCCACCTCCTGCCCCAAATCCCCACCTTTTCGTGGTAACCAGTACGGTACACACACTTGAATGCGCACGGCCATCGCTCAAACTTACGAATCGAATCGGATCAGATCGGATATCATACGCAATTTTGTCGCGACTGGTGATCAACGGACTCTATTGACCACTCATTCATTTCCCACGTGCTAAGGCTGAGGACTGCGAGTGGGATGCGGATCTAGACGCGCAAAATAATGCTGGCTCTGCTGTTCATACTTTTGCCGCGCAACCAGACAACTTCATTATAAAGGGGATGGTCGTGGAATGCGGACGTGACAGCCGTGACTGGGAAAGGATACGAGACGGCATACATATATGGAGAGGGGGATTGTGAAAGGAGCGGAGCGCGCTTGCGTTACATTACACACGAGTTTCTACCTTTCCCGTCGAGCCCTTCCCACAGCGCGCGTCCCTGTGTGCTTCCCGAGGAGAGGTGCGAAGATCAGAGGAGGCGCAGCAGAAGGCCGGCCCCCCGCAAGGCGACGAGCGCGCCCGTGCGCGCCACGGCCTTGGCCCGCGCCCCGAGGGAAGCAGGCGAGAGAGGAGCGGAAGGCGGAGGAAAGCGATGAAGGCGCGGGCCCCAAAAATATACACCACCACCACGTCGATTCCTCGTCCCTCCTCCACCCTCGTCTGCCTCTCCTCTCTCCAGGGACGGGGAGGGGATGGGGGAGGTGGTGGTGGTGGTGGTGTATACATTTGGGCCCCGTAGACGGGTCCTATCCATCTTGGCTCGGTGGCTGCCGGGCGCAACATGGCTCCCCAACGGCGGGGTGCGGGACCAGTGGTGTCCAGACAGATAGTTCGGGACGGGCCCCAGCCGAGCACCCGACGCAGAAAGTCAGAGCGGGCAGCATTGGCCAATCGGGCACGCGCTGCGGCTGGTGGCGCAGCCCAACCCCTTAGCAACCTCCGCAACACACACGGCAAATGAGGCGGAGGACATGCATAAGCGCTTAGAGGCAGTGCTGATCGAGCTCGTCGACGCGGACTTCGCGGTGGCATCGATGCTCGCCCTGATGGCGCCTGTCCTCACTGCAACGCTGAGGGAGCAGAGCGTCAACAAGCTGGTGGCGACTCGATGGCATGCGGCCTCTCACACGGTCGGTATCCCACGGAAAGAACTGGCGCGCGCGGACTAGACAACACTGAACAGGGTCCAGAGGGAGGGTCACAACAACGCGGCAGCGGCGAAGCCGTTCGGGTGGAACCCTGACGCCCCCGAGTTCATTCTGGACGGCTTGACAATGATGGGTGACGATGCCGAGAGGGAGAGTGGCCTCTTGCCAGGCGGTTCTAAGACTTCGGTTGCGAGGGCAACTTCAAGGACGTCAAGGACGACAGCGGCTACGGTCTCCATGGCTACGCCCTCAAGACATCCTCGAGGTCGCCTCGTGGTGCGAATGAAACTTGGGAGGTGTTTGACAGCCGTTACGCAGCCTTGGAAGTGCCTGCCCAGGTACGCGTCGAGGTCTAACGTCTCCCGATAGAGCGCCGCTGCGAGCAAAGCCACACCGTGCCCCATGAGCTGTAACGGTAGCAAGGATCCGCACGCAATTGCCCGTTGCTGGCTCGCCTTGCGCTCAATTTGCTACGGAGGCTAGCCAAGCAAAGGATGGTGATGTGATGGACTATGGCCAGGAGCAGCAATATGATAAATAATGGATGATCAATATTTGGATGGGGACATGGAGGCAACAAGAGCGAGCCAGCGCTGGGGCGATACCGTCATCTCGAAGACGAACGATGCTTCGGCGGTGAAAAGCACCCTCCTAAACACCGGATGACACTTGCAAGGGTATCCTGTGTTGAAAATCCGACGACCCTGTCAGCGTGTGTGAGGAGCTTCTGTTCGAATCGTCCTCCCTGCACCCTCCTCCTCAAGCGTGTCAGAGAGAGAGAGAGAGAGAGAGAGAGAGAAATCTAGCAATGTCGGGGGGGTGGTAAATCTGGGGGGGGGGGGGGGGGGGGGCGTCGGGGGGGGGTCAGGTACGTATCCCCCCCTAGGGGCCCCGGGGCTTCAGAAAGTACCAAGACAGACCAAGAGTGCCCCAAGAGGCCCCCGAGACGGTCCAAAAGGGTGTTCAATCGCCAAATGATCGGTCCAGAAACGCCTTCACGCCCTCCAGACTGCCCAGGAGGCCCCAGGACGCCCCAAGACGACTCCAAGAGCACTCCCGAGAGGGCTCAAAAGGCCAAATTCGTAAGACTTGGGCGTTCTCGCCTTTTCCACTTCCCACCGCTCCAAGGCGGCGCAAGGCCCCCAAGATCGCCCCGAGACGGCCCAAGAGGCCTCCAAGAGGGACCCAAACAGCCCAAGAGGACCCCAATACAGCCCAAAACGCCTCCAAGACAGCCCAAGAGGCCCCCAAGACGGCTCCAAAAGCGTGCCCAGACGGGGGACCCGAACGGACATTTCGAGTCCTCGGCCCCAAGAGGCTCCCAGGAGGCCCCTAGAAATCCCCAAGAGGCCATACGAGGCCCACGAGAGGTCCCCAGCAAGCCCGAAGAGGCCCCCAAGAGGCTCCCAAGAGGCCCCCAAGAGGTTCCCAAAAGGCCAAAACATTCCTCCCCAGAAGAGACCCCAAGACACATCCCTGAGGACTCTGGCCCACGTTAGCGTCGTCGTCGTTGCCGCCGCCGCTGTTGTCGTCGTCTTCGTCGTCGTCTCCCTTCAGGGTCGGCGGCACCGGCCGTAAGGCCTTCGCAATCAATCGGCGAGAGCACCAATCGGATATGAACCCATAATGCGGGAATGCCGATCTGGATGCTGCAAGACATTTCGAAGGGTGCTTGCGTGCGGCTCACTCGCATTTTCGGAAGTCAATATGAAAGGAACAGGCCGGGCGGGAAGGAGTTGGAGGTCTACAGGCCGCAGAAGCAAAGCAACTGAAACCCGTTCGGCAGAAGACCCTAAACAGCTTTCCGCACTTCACGATCGGCGGGCTACGATGGGGGGCGGAGGGGGTCACGACAGGGTGCTCTGGGGGGGCACCATGGGTAGCCACAGTGGGCCACCGATTTCAGGGGCCGGGGCTCCTTCATCGGGCGTTCGAACATATACAGAAACTCTGCAAGCACCTTGTTTAGGGGATCTTTCTTTACTCAACCTGCTTCGGCCTGCAGCTCAGGCCGTCAACACTCGCTGCGGCAAGGGTTCACCTTTTTGGGATGGTCGTGTGAGATTGCCCTACTGTCGTCCTTGGCCGTGCCGTCTTGCTCCACTGCGGGGAAATGATTTGTTCAAACCTCTATGTACGCGGAACGCATACTTCCCATCGCAGTCACTCTCCGCGTCTACAGCGGGGGCGTGCATCAGCAAGCGCTTCCACTGGTCAGACGCAGTCCTGCGGATGTCGGTTCAGTGCGTCCCAGCCACCCACGCACCAACCCCACCCAAGCAAACAGCTTCGGGTGAAGGGACTGGCACGTCCGCTGCACCCTCAGGCCCCATCAGCACGTGGTAATGCAAGTGCTGGTGGTGGTGCACGTGCGCGGTGCCGAGGGGCGCCACCGTCTGTGCGTGGCGGCCGCGCACGCCGCACGGCTGGCCCCGCGAGGCCATCGGCCGCGCCTTCGTGGACGGCCCACGCCAGTACGGGCTGCTGCGGCTATCCTCGCCGTGCTTCGACGCGTACTGCAGCGACCCATCCCTCCACCACGCCCCTCCCCTCACCCCCTGGGCTTCCGGGGCCTCCATTGGCCTCGCTGGCTGCTTGCGCTCCTGGCGCAGGGGGCCGCGAGAACCCTGCGAGCCTCGCGGCCCGCCCGGCGCACTGCGGCTGCGCGGCAGTGGCCGCAAGCCCCCTGGCCGGGAGAGCGGGCGTTCCATGGCGGTTGCCTCCTGCGGCATGCCCGCCAAGCCGCGCCGGAAATCACGCCGGACGGCAGAGCCGACCGCGCCACCCCGTTCGGGCGGAACCGCCGGCAGTCTGGCGTCCTCGGCGGCGCCAGGCTCCTCCAGCAGCCTGCTTGCAGAGCTCGCGGTGCTGGCGCCGACGTGCAGCTCGACATTGCCCCGAGACCCGTCGGCAGCGCCAGGCAGCCCAGGCGCGGTGGGCCGGCCAGGGGCCCCGAGATTGTGAAACTCCGATTCCATGTGCACCCTGTCCATGTCTAGCCCAGGAACCGTCGCCGGCCGTGAGCCGCACTGCGAGGGACCGTCGACCGCTGGGCTCAGGGGCGCCAGCGGGTCCGCAGCGGAATCTGTCCTGGCTTGCGAGGGTGGCGACGGCGCCCTCCCAACGCCACGAACACCGCAATGCGGCTCGACGCCAGTCGCGGCAGCACTCGGCTGACTGTCGGGCGCCACGAGCCCCAGCCGGCGGAGAATCTCTGCGGTGGCGGGGCGCTGCAAGCGCCGGCGCGGCGGGGGCGGGGTGGCCACATTATCGTCGTGGGACTCCTCATCCAGGCGCGCCCACACGCGCTGTAGCCAAGCCTTCGGAGAATGGCCGGTAGCGAATGCCTCGTCCGCGAATGCCTCGCCCGCTTCGTCCCACCCTTCTCGCAATGCCGAATGTAGGGGCACCTCCTCGTCCACGCTCTTGGAGAACGACTCCATGGCCTCTGTGCCCGTGGCGTAGAGCAAGGCATCTGCCTGACCCTCCTGGTCCTCCTCCACGGCGACAGACTCCGTGAACGCCGAACATGCCGAAATGGTCACAGTGGTCACCGCAAACCCAGCGTCGCCGCTCCAGGCGTCCTCTGGCGCCCTCATGGGCGGAGGGGCGGCGCCCCTGGCGCGCTCTGGCGGAGGAGGGCGCGAGCGGTCGCTTGAGCCAACCTCGCAGACGGCACACACATGCGCAGCAGCCCGCAGCTGCGGACAAGAAGGGGCCCAGGGACACACAAATAAACGCACACACACACAAATAACATGATTCCCCGTAGTTTCCCACATTTTTGGGGTTTCTGTCTTCCCCCCCACTTCCCATATTTTCCCATATTTTCCGGGGAATCGACGATTCATTGTGTCTGTGTGCTTTCTTCCCCTCCTGAGGACAAGAGTGAGAGGGCGCGGGCGCGGGGTGCTTCGCGGGCGGGCCGCGGGTGGGTCGCAAGGCGGGCCGCGGGCTGGGCCGTGGTGTGGCTCGCCGGGGGGGTCGCGGGGGGGACGACGACAACAAGAATCAGCATCCCGGCCACGGAGACCCACTTCACCAGGGACGGTGTGAGACCGCTCCGCCCCCTCACTCTAACATCGGAGGTTAGTGTACACACACATATTGGCGGAACCAACTTCGTATGACACCGAAAAAAAACATGTTTCGAGTCTTCGAGCTGATAGTCAAGGAAGCTTTCTCGTCGTATTCTGAGCACTCTTTTGCGTGTCCAGGGTCCTGGCGGTAACCTGGTTGACGGTTTACCGCCGGCTCCCATTAGGTGGTGAGGCCGGCATGGCACGGAATCGCCCAGCCGGGAATGCGGTTCTGGTTTGGGTCCGCGTCGTGCGTGGAGTGCGGGCGAAGCGAAGCGGCGCGGATCTCTGCACCAGCCGGGCCCACGTCGCGCCAAAAAGAATCGGGCCCCCGGCGTCCGGGGCGTGCCTGGGGTCGTCCCGTGGTTGTCCCGCGGTTGTCTTGTGGTTGTCCTGCGGTTATCCTGTGATTGTCCCGCGTTTGTCCCGTGGTTGCCCAATTCGTGTTCCATGGTTGCCCTGCTGTTGTCGTTGTTCTTCTTCCGTGGTTGTTCCGTGGTCATCGCGCGGATGTCCAACGGCTCTTCTTTGGTTGTCCCGTGGTTGCTCCGTGGTTTTCCTGAAGGGGACCTGTGGTTGTCATGTGGTTGTCCCGAGATTGTCCCTCAATCATCCCGTCGTTTGTCCGCAATTGTCGCTTGGTTGCCCGTGGTTGTCCCTCAAGTGTCCCCTGACTGCCACGAATATAGATCGATAGATGGCGACACCACTGTATCGATAGTGAGACGGGCAGAGAGAGAGGCAGTGGCATTAGACGATAGGTAAGTCGATCCCAATGTTGGTGGCAGGATCTGGACCCGGAAAAAGAGTATTGGCATGTGAGTGGGGATACCCAGGTCGATCAAATTATATCCTGCGGGTCAAATCCGAATCGTGAACTCTCAATTTTGGTAGCTGGATCTGGAAACAGGTAGTATTGGCAGATGAGTGGGGATATCCAGGCCGATCAGGCCGATCAAATTATATCTTGTGGGTCAGATCCGAATCGTAAACCCACATCTGCACGGCTCTCCTTCTAAACCTCCTCATCGTCCAAAGGGTGGTCCTATAGACAGGGCTTTGGGGGGTGGGACCCATCGTAAAACGGAGTAGTAGATTTATCGACATGGAATTTTCCAGATAACATCTGTTCTGAAGATATTGTAAACAAGCTGGCTCCCAGGCGAACGTCTACTATGACCTGACATCGGGTCAAATTTGATCATCTCTGGAAGGGGAACCCCGCTGAAACGAGCCAGCGTAATGGTTTGACCGCTCAAGCTGGAGATAACTCCAGCACAGGCGTATGACTGTAATCGCACCAGGAGGAATGGTTGAATTGAGGAGCGGGATGATGAAAGTAACCGAAAACGCACACGCGACAGCCCCCTCCAAACAAAGAGGGTGAAGGGGCGATACGGCGACAACACATACGACGCCGGCACGTGGCTATCATGGGGACGATGCTACGAACCGAATTGACGTCTACTCGTGGGGAGCACGGGACCGTGGGTGCCCCGCTGGGACAGTAAAGTCCAGAAAGTGCAAGATGTAGGATCGGCAATCGACTTGCCTCCACCGCCCCCTCTTCGTCCCTTACCTCGAATACCGGAGTCTGCTGGGGTGATCGGTGTCTAATTGGCGCTGCTGTCCAACCAGACCCATGGGAAAGCGCCCTGGCGCCTGGAAAGGCGTGTCATCAGACAACACAAACGAATTCCGCGAAGGCATGACTAACACAACCCGCCCCGCACCACAACAATATCCGACATGCTGAAACGACTCTGACATCTCCCTCCCCTCAGTGTTTCATACTTCCGTGGTCCTGCAACAGGGTATGTACGTGCGTCTCTTTGAAGCACGCGGCGCGCGCACTCCGTGCGCATGCCATCTGGTCGCACGCCGCGCCCTCCTAGGAGAGCCCAGAATCGAATCAATAACTCGGATCGGCGATCGACATGAATCGGATCGGCGGAAATCGGCAGCCGAGTCGGGAAAAGTCGAATCGGCGGAAATCGGCAGGCTTGTACGCCTCCATTGAAGAATCGGAGCCCAAATCGGAATCCCAAGTAGAAGCGAATCGGAAGCGGAAGCCATCGAAATCAAATCCAATCGAATCGGAGGAATCGAAACGGGCCCTGCCCTCCAAATCATTACCTGCTTGACGGGCTGCTCCTGCTGCCACACGTCCGGCCTTTTCCGCGCTGTGTGCAGCAGAACGATTACGGTTAGGTCGGGCATGTCATCTTACAGGCGGATTTGGACGACAAACCAAAAATGGTCAACAGTTCTCAAACATGGTGAAAAGTTACAGGAATATCATCCCCAGACTATTTTTTCAGTATTCTTGAACAGTTCTCCTGTAGAGGGACAGGCCCGACTTAAGGCCATTTCCGCGCTGCGTGCAGCAGGACGATCACGGACAAACGCCGGGCGATGGTGAGGATGCGGTCGGCGGTGGGAGGCTGGCGGAGGCAGCACGGGCAGCAAGACTTCGGGTCGGGCGTGTCCTCCTACAGGCGGATGCTGGGTGAAAAATACCACATACCCGCAAAAACGTTCAACAATAGTCAAAAAATAATCAAAGTCGTCCCCAGACTAGATTTGGACTATTTTTGAATATTCCTCCTGTAGAGGGACAGGCCCGACTCAAATCAAGACGCGGTGAGCGGAAGCAGAGTCGGCAGGAGGGCCTGACGTGCAGCACCTTGTCGAGGCACTGGTCGATGTACATGTCCTGGCCCCGACTGCAGCACGCGTCATGCTGCCATGCAGTTGGCATCGGCGGTGGTCCCCACGTCCCCTCCTTCTCGCCTCCCTCGTCCCTCTCCTCATTCCCTGGTCCATTACCCGTCCCATGTCCGTCCATCCTATCATCCCCCTCCCACTTGCATCCAAAGCGAAGGATTGACCCGTTAACATGGGGCGCCCAACGCGAAGCATGCGGACAGGGGCGACACCCGAGATGCTTGTCTTCTTGATCGTCGGAGTGAGGCCTCCGATCGCGCGAATCCATTTCACTTCGCAGACGCGCTGGCTGCATCGGGCCGAGCAGACATAGTCGAGATTACCTTGTTCTTCTCTTCCTTTGAGCAGGGACCGACCGTCCCGGCATTCCTATGGGCAAACCACGATATGTTCCTAGAACCCACAAGTGTTCGAATCACAAAACACTGCTCTCAGAACATAAGCTCGACGTGTTAAAACAAGACAGTCCCAGCCAGGCATGTTCTAATAACATCTCGTGCAGACCACAAAACCGACCAGCCATAACTGAGGGAGCTGTGGTCCTTACCCCCCTGGGGGAACCCATCGCATCGACAATCTCTCTCTCGAGGGGTGTCGCAATCGATGGGTCCCCCAGGGGGGTAAGGACCACAGCTCCCCCAGTTGTGGCTGGCCTGCAGAAAGGTTTTTAGAACTGTCTTTGGTAGGCCTTAGGCGAGCCAGGACGCTTCGCCACTGCTGGACTTCCTGCGGAGGGTGCCCGGCGGGGCCCGGCCGGCGAGGCCCGCGCAGCTTCGCGGGCTCTATGGAAGGGCCTGGCGGGGGCCAGCCAGGGCAGGCCCGCGGCCCTGCTGGGGCAGGGAGGGCTGCGGCTCCTCCTGCCGCTGCTGCTGCTGCTGCTGCTGCTGCTGCTGGCCCCTCCCCCTCCTCCTCCTCCTCCTCCTCCTCCTCCTCCTCCTCCTTCTCCTCCCCCTCCTCCTCCTCCTCCTCCTCCTCCTCCTCCTCCTCCCCCTCCTCCTCCTCCTCCTCCTCCTCCCCTCCTCCTCCTCCTCCTCCTCCTCCTCCTCCTCCTCCTCCTCCTCCTCCTCCACCTCCCTCTTCTTCCTCCTCATCCTCCGCCCTCCTCCTCCCCTCCTCCTCCTCCTCCTCCTCCTCTTCCTCCTCCTCCTCCTCCTTCTCCTCCTCCTCCTCCTCTTCCCCCTCCTCCTCCTCATCCTCCTCCTCATCCTCCTCCTTCGCCTCCTCCTCCTCTACTTCCGCTATCACTGGTGCCGCTGCAGCCCGCCGCGGCCCGCTGCGGTTCGCTCTGGCGCTCTCGCGGTGACGGGCGGCGCTCGGAGGGTGCCGGCGTCGAGGGCTGCGGGGTGCCCAGGCGCCGACGCGCGCAGGCGGCCTCGCGCCTCGCGCCTCGCGAGGCGACAAGCACGCCCACGTTGCAGCAGGGCGTGTTGCATGTGTCGCGTGACTGGCTGAGTCTCGACGCTGTCTGCGGGCTTTTGCCTGGTTGGCGTCCGTGGCCGCCTCGTGGCGGCCACGCGCGCTGGATGGACTCCTCGTCCCAAAACCAAGTGTGCCCATGGACCGAGATCGGAAAAATCGCCCCACCTCGGGGCTTAGTTTTTTCTTGCTCGTTCGTTCACCTGTATCAGAAATATACAATGATCGCCAGCGTGATGCGCATGCCATGTGGTGTAACCATGTGGTGTAAGCTATGTGCTGCAAGCTGTGTTGCAAATTACGTGGTGCAAGTTACGTGAGGGAAGTCATGTGGCGCAGACTACGTGGTGCAATCAATCACTTGCTCAACTTGAAGCTGTCCTCCCCACTGCTCGTGGGAACATCACACCCTCCCACCCGCAACTTGGTCGCAAGACCTCTTACGACCGTGACGGTCGGTCCCAAATGGCCCTTGGCACCGGCACCGACGCCGACGACGACAGCGACAACGACGACGACGACGCCGCCGACAACGACTACGACGACACCGACGACGTCTCAAACGACTTCGGCGACGGCGACAACGACGACGACGACAACACAGACGACCACGACGACAACGACGACGACGCTGACGACGATGACGATGACAACGCCGACGACGACGCCGCTGCCGACCACGACGACGCCGACGCCGACGACGACGGCGACGAAGACGACGACGACGACGTCGCCAACGAAGACGACGACGACGAGGGAGGAGGGAGGACGACAACGGCGACGACGACAACGACGAGGGAGGGGGGAAGACGACGACGACGACGACTACGACGGCGACGAAATAGGAGGGACAACGGCGAAACGCCGACGAAGACGACGAGGGAGGAAGGACGACCACGGCAGGCGACAACGACGACGGAAACGACGACGACGCCAAGACGACGACGACGAGGAAAGACAGAGGAAGACGACGGCGACGACGACGACGAGGGAGGACGGAGGGCGGCGACGCCGACGACGACGCAAGAGCGCGCGCGCACGCTTTTGTTGAAAATCCGTGTTGCGAAACCTTGTGTTAGTGTATGTTCTTGGACACACGAATCTGAAATCCGTCCGACACCGAAGGTTCATGAAGGAATTCGGCATGCGCGCGCGCGCGACGACGCGCGCGTCTGCAGTTCACCCCGTTTTTTGCAACGGATTCTCGCGACGGCACGCGGGCAAGGGCGTTCGAAAGATTTCGGCATGCGCGCGCGAAACAAATTTGGTAGTACTTTTTTGAACATGTTGAAAACCTATTAAGATTTCGCAAGAGCGCGCGTACGTTTGTTATTTATACAAAAAAGGAAATCCGTGTTGCGAAACCATGTGTTCACCTGTAAGTTTCTCGTGGGAGCTCGATTTTGAAATCCTTGCGAAACCGGAAGCTCATGAAGGATTTCGGCATACGCGCGCGACGACACGCGCGTGTGCACTTCGTTTCTCTTTTGTGTAAGGGGTTCTTGTAAACCCATGATTTTTGATAAACGAGAGCGCGCCGAGAATATGTTTTGCAGTGGGTGGCGGGGGGGAGTCATACTGGTTTGGCTGGGATCGTATGAATTCATAGTTCGGATGGACGAGTGTGTAGAATACATATACAATCGCAATACCCCAGAGGGGGGTGTTATCTCTGAGGGGCGGGGGGGTGAGTCTATTCTTCCTTTAGACAAGAGAATGTACGTGTTGCCACCTACGTGGCGCAACTGGTTTTTGTGAGTCGTGAAATGTCCACTCCGCTGCGAGCGCAAACGTCCCTTCCCACCTGCATTTTTTTGGCGCAACCCATGCGGCCACGATTGCGGATGTGCTGGGCGCTGGCTGGCGCATCTCTGCCGCCGCGCTGGCGCGCGCAAGCTTGCGCGTAGAGCGGCCAGGTGGTTGGGCACAAAACAAATGATGCGGCCGCGATGGCGCTTGCCGATGGAACCTTCCAAGCGCGTTTCAAAGGCCGCGCTGTCGACCGGGCACTTCCGTGCGGTTCGGTGACTCGGCCGGGCGTGGTGTCATATGACGGCGGCAAAGGCGGCAATGACGATGATAGTAGTGATGGTGGCGATGATGACGATGCCGGCGGCAAGACCAATGACGGTGCCGATGCTGGTGACGACGATGGCGATGATGATGTCCATGCGTCGATGACGAAGGTGATTGGCGAATGATGGCGGCACTGGCGGCGATTGACGATGCCGATAAGGGCGGGTGGGGTGGCGCTGATGAGGGTAATGGCTACGAAATGTGCACGCGCAAAAACTCAAGAAGCCTGGCAAACTGTTTGTTGGCAAGAACTTCGCTTTCCATGTGTTGTTGAAGAGCGCTATCTTGTAATGCTTCAACCACCAATGGTATAGGACAGATTTCGGCACACGCGCGTGGCGGCGTCTGCGCGTGTGGCGGCACCCGAACATGGCTTCCTGCGATTTCAGCAAGTGCGCGCGGGCAGAACATCTGCAAAGTTCGTCTTGGAAAGACATGAGGCCTTTACGTTTCATCTTTAAGGTTGAATTTTTTTCCCGACGGCGCTTTGAATGATTTCGACATGCGCGCGCATGCACTTTGCAACTTCTCCGGCACGTGATTTTGAAACGTATCTGTGAGATACGCGAGTGTGCGTGAATATGATGACTGTGTGACAAAGGGGAGAGACGGTCAATAGCCATCGGGGCTGCCATAGTATGCTTTCGGGTGGAAAAGGAACGACAAGGCAGACTCAGATGTAAACTGCGGTGTCCCGAGGGGGGCAGGACGAGTCCAGGCTCGGGAGGGGGGTGGATCCTATTGCCCGTCTGACGCGGGAAGCTATGTGCTGCAAGCTATGCGGTGCACTCTGTGTGGTCCAAGCTGTGGCAGGGCTGAACCTAAACGGTGTTTTTTGTTTTCGTTTTGTTTTCGTTTTCCTTCGTTTTGTCTTCAATCCGTCTGTACCGCAAAACGATATCGAAACGAAAACGGCCCACGAAATCGCAGAAACACTGTTTAGGTCCACCCCTGAGCTGTGGTAGGCGAAGTAGTTCCAGCTCGGGCGTTGGCAGAACTGGGTTCGGTTTAGTGGGACTTACTTTAGTGATGTGTACTGGGGGACGCCCCCCCCCCCCGCCCCGTTCCACTATAACTGGAACTGCCGTCGCCCGAACAAGCACCACCTACGGCAGACCTTGTTCAATGCTTCTCTGGCCGATTTAAAAGCTCCGGGGCCCTGTTACTAATCGGGTCCCCTTACCTGGGGTCCTGGCTATACCCGACCAGTAGGTCGGGCATGTCCCCCTGGAGGCGGATTCTGGACGAACAGTTCTTAGATAGTCAAAACGCATGAAGCAATGCCCAAGGTACTTAAGCATCGTCCCCCGAAATGATATATAAAACATGCAAACAAGAAACCAATGTTTGAATATTTTGGACGCCCAAAATGGGTACGGAAAAAATGGGTACAATGCCCAACAGCAAATCTTGTCCCAAACCAACAGCGGCCGCTGTTGGGCAGGCGGCCTTCTGTCTCGAATGGGCACCGGCCGCGGCGGCGTAGACAGCGAGTCCTGTTCAGAATGAACAGGAACTGCTGTTGGGCATTGTTCCCATTTTTCCGTACCCATTTCGGGCGTCCAGGAATATTCCTCCTGTGGGAGGGACAGGCCCGGCGGCGGCGCAGGCTGCGCGGTGCAGGCTGTGCGGTGCAAAGCTGTGCGGCGTGTGCCCTGCCGTGCGGTCTGCGCGACGCAGGCCGGCGGGGCGCCCGCGACGCGCGCCCACGGGAGGGCGGCGGGCAACACCTCGGCACGCCTCTGGGGTCGGGCGTGCGCTCCCACAGGCGGGCTCGATTGGCCAGGGCACGCTTGATGGCGAACGCGGAGATGGAGATGGCGATGTTTTCCCCTCGCGAGGATCGCCTGCTGTCGCGCGGCTGGGAAGTCCCCGCGCTCTTGCCAGCACGGCGCGCAGGTGGGGGAGAGGGCACGAGACCCTTCCGAGGGCCGCATGGCCACAGGAAGGTAGGAGGCTTGGGCCGCGAGGCACAGGACACGAGGGTACCCTGGGTTTGGCAGGGTCGACCTACTAATCCGGGCCGCCTGTACAGGCGGCTTTTGGATGAAAAATCGGAGATGCTCCAGAAATATTCCCCAATCAGTGCTTGCACTGAGGGGTTTTGGCGGAAATGGAAAGACTTGGCGAACATTTCCCGCCGATTTTGGTGGCCGGTTGGGTTCCCCGGTTCCCGGTTCGGGGTTCCCGGGTTCCTGGTCATTGGTTCCAAGCCGATTTCGGTGGCTTCCAGATTCCTGGATTTCCGGGTTCCCAGTCGATCTCCTTATCGATCTCTTTATCGATCCCATTTCAAACCAGTCACTGATTGGGATTTGTCTCTGGCGTAATTCAAAATAATTTGCAAAAATCGTCCCCGTACTATTGTTTGCTCGTCTTTGTATATTCCTCCAGTAGAGGGACCCCACGGGCGTGGCGGGTTTCTCCGAAGGGCTTAGGCGACCCGTCCTCCTCCTCTCTCCTCCTCTTCCTTCTCTCCTGCTCTTCCTTTTCCTCCTCCAACTCCTCCTCCTCCTCCATCTCCTCGTCCTCCCTCCTCCTCCTCCTCCTCCTCCTCCTCCTCCTCTTCCTCCTCCCCCCCCTCCTCGCCCTCCCCTCCCCGGTTCGCCTACAGACCCGGGGGAAACCGTCCACCCACGGGCGGGCACCAACCGAAAACCCAGCATTACCAGCCAACCCGTTCAGCAAGCCGAGCCCAAACCTTTTGAGTGCGAGCGGGGTCGGAGGACTCGTAGCATCCCAGCCAAGCCGCGGTGGTGCCACCCCTGCCAGCCCCCCAGCAAGAGACATACAGTGCGGTGCGCAGGCGCTGATCCAACAATCGCGCAACGTAACACAATCCCTGTCCGACAGCACCATGCGGGCAACATGCGCGCGCCTCCCCCCCCCGCGCGCGCATGAAACATAGTTTGCACTGCACTCACCATCGCTTGGACGTCCATTCCCCGTGCATATTTCGATTTCGTGCGTGTTTTTGTTTGTGCTCGATGATCCAGGATGCTCCTCGATAGTCCTCGCCGAGAAAAGAGGTGCACACGCCCGAGCGATGCCAAATGCATCTCAAAACATACAGAATCAACAACAACGAGAAGCCACCGGCTTTCCCCGCACATGGATTGCCAGATAGCGCGCACTCGCCGCAATCATATTTCGGCGTTGGACAAATCTCCCTTTAATAAACCTCCCCTTAGTGAAAACGGCCTGGGACCGAAACCGACGGACCTGGACCCGCAAAAATGACGGCCGCGACGCCCTCTCGCGAACCGAAAACGGCCAATTCCTCAATCGACGTGTCAGGGTAGGAGGTCTGTCCAACCCCGAACATTGAAACCAATGTTTGTTTGGCCATTCTGTCAAATGAAACCATGCGGGCAGAACGCGCGCGCTTGTCGAACACATCCCGCAATCGCTGCGCACCCGCCGACTCGACCACATTATACAGTGCAGGCCACACCGCCCGTGTACCTCCACGAGCGCACGCCGAAACGAATCCACAACTCGTAGTCTTCGGAATATTTCGAGAGCGACACCTTCAACAACACTTTGAATCCAAAAGGTTCTCTCGCTGGTCCGAACCATGCATCTGCATGAGCAGGGCCCGCGCGTCACTGCGCCACGTGATATCCGCGAGCAAGCTCCTACAGGCACTGGCGTAGATCGCAGACATGCCGTCACGCGTGTAAAATCACGGGCTACTACACCGCCTAACACACAAGCTATCACCAGCGCTGTTGTTCGAAGGGGGTGCAGTAGTTCTGTGCTCGTGCAATGAAGTCATGAGTGCTTTTGCGAATCTATCCGCGGATGCCACGCGGGCAGAACACGCATCTTGCCATCGCTCGGACGTCCATTTCGGTGTGTTCAGCACCGTCACAATCGTCTTCATCGTCGTTGTCGTGGGCCTTGTCATCATCGCCACCAACATCTCCATCATCATCATCATCATCAGCATCATCATCATCATCATCAGCATCAGCATCAGCATCATAATAATACTAATAATAATAGAAATAATAAAAAATAGTAATAATATTAATAATAAGCATCATCAACGTCGTCATCATCAGCATCAACATACTCATCATCACCATCAGCAGCATGTCATACAACCACCATCACAATTATCGTCGACGTCGTTGTCGTCGTCGATGTCACCTTCACAATTATCCCTCGTCCGCCTGTGTCATGGATCTGATCTGCATGGTAAGAGTCCTCGCGTCACTGCGCCAGTTGAGTTTTGCCGAGAAGAGACGGGTGGGTGGGTGAGTTGACGACTCCAAATTATTCAAACGCTGATTGCACCTCACTGTGCACATTAAGAGAACAATCGCTGACACCTGACGTGCCATCAGACACTGCCGACGTGAACTCCCGGCGACCCGAGTGGCACCATGCGAGCCCGTCAACCGACCAACCCGACGGGAGCGCTCGCGGAGGCTGACCGACGGCCGGCAAGTCCGACAGGATCGTCTCAGGGCCCCGTAGACATGGACTTTGGTGAACCAAGACGTTGGCACAACCGATGACAACGACGACATCATCGTCATCGCCATCGTCATCGCCATCGTCATCGTTATCGTCATCGTCATCATAATCATCATCGTCATCGAAACTGCAACCGTGGGCCGACGCGTTCTTCGTGCTCCGTTACTTCCCCCGCTGGGTCCTGCAAAATCCTGGTTCGCAAGCCTGGGGTCGCACGGGAGGACGAGCCCCAGGAAGGGGCACGGCCTTTGTGGTGGTGGAACGGGTTGCTGAATGGGGGCGGGGGCGAGGAGTGTAGACCGAGCAGGTGGCATCCAGAGGAGGCACGGCGTCGGCGACGACGAGGACGACGCAGACGAAGAGGGGGACCAGGACGCCTCGGACGTCGTCGCAGGCCCCCGGAGGCCCTCGGCGGCCCCCGCAGAGACCCCCAAGGGGGCCTCGGCGGCCCTCCCGAGGACCTCGGAGGCCCCGCCGGCGGGCGGGGCACCCGGCGCCGGCCCCCGCCGGCTCGGGGGGCTCCTCGCCCCAGGCGCAGTCGCCCCCGCACTGCTGCCGGAAGTAGGCCGTGCACTGCTCACGGCCTGCGGGGCGGGGGTCCGGGCAGCGCGCCGCTGCCGCTGCCGCTCCTCGAGGACGTGGGCCTCCCCGCGGAGGCGCGCGCCCCCGTGGCGCCGCCAGTCCCGTGCAGGCTGGGGGCAGGCGGGGCGTTCCGCGCCAGCAGCCGCACGGAGGGCACGCGGCGCGGCTGCAGAGTGCGGCTCTCTCGCTCCGGCGCCGCGAGCGGCCGAGGTGCACACTCGCAGCGATGGCACGGATGGAAGGCGCGTGTCTTTCGAGCTGGGGGCTATCGCTCAAACCTCTTGTGACAAGAGACGAGCTCATGCAGCAGTTCCTGTGGGTGGGCGGCGGTCCTTTCTCAAACTAAACTAGGGCTCCCAACTTCGCGCTTCGCGCTGCGCGAAGCGCGAATAACTTCGCGCTCTCGCGCCGCCCCCCCAGAGGGAGAATAGGAGGACGAGGAGGAGGGGGAGAAGGAACGAGGACCGCGAAGCGCGAAGCGCGAATAACTTCGCGCCCTCGAGGGAGCCCTTGACTAAAGCTCTCGTGTGACCGCGTCCTTCCCGAGGGGCTGGGCCCGCGTGCGGCCCCCCCGGCGGCCCCGTTCCCGTCCGTCGCCGCAGCAGGCGTCCAGGCACAGGGCCCCGCTTGCGGGTCCGCTCGGTCCCGCTCCCGTCGGCCGCCGCCGCCCCGCTGCACCCCCCCCCCCCTCCCTGCACTGCAGTCGACAGCTGCAGTGCACTCGCATTGATCTGCACTGCAATCACACTGAGCTGCATTGGCATCTGCCTTGCGTCGCGATCGCACTGCGTGGCATCGCTCTGCATTGTGTTGCATCGCATTTGATCGGCTTTGCATTGTCTTTCATTGTTTTGCATTGCATTGCATTGCTTTTCATTGCGGTGCTTGCTTTGTGTTGCGTTGCATTGCGTTGCCTTGCTTTGCTATCGCATTGCATTTCAATCGCATTGCATAGCATTGCAACCGCATTGCCTTGC